GTGTGTGTGTGTGTGTGTGTGTGTGTGTGTGTGTGTGTGTGTGTGATAAGGATGAGGCAAAGTTGCATAATGAAGAGGAGCAGGAAAATAATGTTAAGAAGGAGAGGAAGAAGGATAATGAAGGAGATGAAAACGAGGGTGGAGGGGAAAGGAAACAGGAAAAGGAAAAATAGGAGGAGGTGGAGCAGCAGCAGAGGAGGGGAGGGAGGACACAGAGGAGGTGAAGAAAGCAAGAAGAGGAGGAAACACAACCAAGTGGAAAGAAAATGAAAATAAAATAAATAAATAGAAAAAGAAAGAGGCTGAGAGTTTTATCGCTGGAGCTGCTCGACGTGGAGCTTTTATTATTAATTGGAGATTAACCACGCGCCTTCTGCTTCTCATCTATGTGTGTCCCCAGTTCTACAGGCGCTTCGTTCTCCCTCCACTTTTCAGTTCTTTAACTTCTTCACTTGTATTTATCTCACGGGGAGGCCCCTTCGAGGCCCGCCCCAAACCGCAGCTCAGCTCGTGTCCAAACGCTTACATTCACCTTTATCCACTAAAACGCTGTCAAACCTCAAACGAGGACGTGGGCCCAGCGAGCGAATTTACGATTGAAGTCCTGTGGAAATTAAGTCCACCATCACTGGAACAGAAAGGATAAGTAGCAGCCACATGACCGACTGACGGTCATCAGCACCTCAGAGGTTTTGGCAGTTTGCAGGTGTGCTCATTATTAAAATGACAACATTTCCTGACAACAAAGAGCTGCGTCTCAGGGTTTACAGGCCTCGCTCCACGTGTAAAGGTTAAAGGTCATGTTATTAGAAAAGAGACTGAACAACGTTCACTCAGCAGTGAACGGTTTGCAAAGCTGCTGCTGGAAAAGCGACTCGGTCTGTGGACGTGGAGATGTTTGTCGCTAATGCGCAGCAGCATGTTCGGACAAACGCAAACACCTCAGACCAGCTGTAGTATTCTGGAGTCAGACACGAGGCCGTCGGTCCCACGGCTGACGTCAGCAGGACGATGAAGGAAGAGACAGCTGATGATGACGAAGACTTACATGTGCTTAGCGATGGCTGCAGCATCGCTCTTTCCTCTCTCTGACGAGACGAAGACAAACCTGTCCTTCATTTTCTGCAAAAACAGAGACACAGAGACTCTGCAAATGATTTTAACAGTTCAGCCTGACTGTCCTGGATAATAAAACGAAATTAAATATTGAGCGTCCTCTCCGGCCTGTCTTACAATAGAGAGAGCACCCCAGAGGCTAATATTTCAAAAACGAATCCTAGCACAGTGATGCTTTGTGGGTCACTGAGCCAGGGGTTTGCTGAGTGCCTCCAAAAGGAAACTAAACAGATGCAGAAAAGGCAGCCCAGGGTTACCTGTCACATCAGGTACAAGCAAACGCGACAGAGACGCAGGGAGAACGGCTCAAATCACACCCAACACAAACAGAACCAGAGCGAGGTGCTGCTCCTGCTGTCGGTCGCCACAGGAAGAAGCAGATCAGAGGGAGGACACTCAGAACCGCACAGGCTCAGAAAAACTGTCCCACCAGATCACAGGAGATTCACTGAGCTCGGTCAAAGATGTGGTCGGTTTCTGCTGGAGCGCATACTTTCACTTTTATTCCCGCTGTGGTTTAAAAAGCTGCACCCATCAAACCTTTTGAATATTTGTTTCAGTGAGCTGAGTTTCAGATTGTGTTCAGCCTTACTTCACTATAATAACCTCGGGAGCCCGAGCTCGTCACACTCAGCTTGAACAGATCACACGAGGCTGGAGCCCCCGGGGTGTGCGCTGAGTCTGCTGCTCCTCGCTCTGCTGACTGCAGACACACAACAACGACACAACGCCGGGTCTCGTCGGGAGCCAGGGGAATCGCCTGGGACGTCACCGACACACCCAGCACCTCCGCTCGCCGTCGTCGGCTCTGCACGGACGCCCGCCGGGCACGTGGCGCTCCTACTTCCTGTGTAACCTGAGGAGAGCCAGAGTGGGGACAGCCATCCACACCTCATATTTGGTTTCATATCTTTAATCTAGTTCGTTTAATTTCATTTAGATTCACTCGCGTTACACGCGCTGGGTTGGGTGAAGCGCCGCTGGGATCCCGTCTGCGTCCCGTACATATCGCAGAATTAACAATAAAGCTTTAGTTCGCCCTCCAACGATGCCAACAGCTGTCAGCATCTGCACTTCCTTTGTGATTTCCCTCGATCGTCCTGCTCTGGTGTCACGCTCTCTGCTCGCTGTGGAGGAGCTTCAGTGGAAGCTTCGTCTTTAAGGCAGCGAGACAAAAGCTCAGAGTGTGAATCATTTTTTAATAAGTAGGTTCAGTGTTGAGTTAAATCTATCAGCGTGTTCTAATTTAATCATTTGTGTGCACAGCACTGTGACTAGCATTATGTGAAATGAAACTCTGGGAAGTGTCAGTTACTCCTCAGATCTTATCCCCGGACATTTGCCCAGACTTCGGAGACATTAAAGCTGGGTCACCTGCTACGGAGCGCTGCAGGAGCTCTTCAGCTGCCATCATGATGCCCCAGAGTGCCACGCTGCAGTATGGAATAACATTAACATAATAATATTTCAGTGGAAACCATGGCAACCCACTCCATGAAAACCATAATGTGTTATCTCTCGCCGAGTTCCCCGAACATCCAAAGAACTGAGCCTCCAGCAAGGGTTATGGGAAACGGGTGATGTTGTTATATAACACACACACACGCACACACACACACACACACACACACACACACACACACACACACACACACACAGGCTTTCAGCACTTCAGAGGACATTAAACTAATGGGGAAATTATGGTTCAGTGGTGGTCGTGCAGTTTCTGATGACCCGTCTACCTGCAGAGAGCGTCTGTTATCGACGGGGGCGGAGTCAAAACCGTGTGGTGCGGCCGGTGTGTGGCCACAGAAAGCGTTGAAGAGAATGAAAAGTGTCCCTGCAGCTGCTGTCGCTGCTCTCATGCTGAAGTTTGTTTAATCTTTGATGGTTTCTCCCAGTGAACTCTGCTGTCACTCACTGTTTCAGCCCACTTCTCAGCCAATCAGCATTCGCCTAACAGGCCGGGTCGTGCATGTCGACCAGCATGCAGCAGTGGTTTTGGAGGACTGCACGGGAGCACGTTTGCTCTGGCTGAAGAGATTTACTGTGAACTTTATTTAGTCTGTGTCTGAGCAGCATCCTGGGCTCATTTGGGACAACCAGACATTTCATCTTTGCAGGAAACTCCCAGCAAACGTGACGTTTCAGCTTCTCTGTGGGTTTGAAAGCTTGTTTCAGCGGTGAGTTCCTCCGACTCACCGCTGAAGCTGCTTTCACCTTTTCATGTCCAAACCTCGGGAGCTACAGACCAACACATTTAAAAATGTTCCTGTTTGACTTGTAAATGTTTATTCTGTTTGATTTCTGCTCAGTAAGATTTATATAGAGCTTTTATTTGTACAGCTTTATTGGATATAACTGATGCTTCTTAGAATTTCACTAATTATTATTATTTTTTAGTTTAATTAAATTTTATCTATTTAGCACCAAAACGCAACAGCAGTCACCTCACGGTGCTTTAAGTTGATAGAGACCCAACAATCACATGACCCCCTATGAACAAGCACTTGGTGACAGTGGGAAGGAAAAACTTCCTTTTAACAGGAAGAAACCTCCAGCAGGCTTAGGGAGGGGCGGGGCCATCTGCCAGCTGGGGCTGAGGGGGTGGAGACAGGTGTTGTTAGAATGACACAGTGGGTGGGAGGCTCACGTCTCTGCTCAGATACCTGCAGCTCACCTGGTGCTGAGGAAATGCTTAACTAAAGAATCCAACCTGCATGTTCTCCTCCATGAATCTGCTCTTGAGGAGCTCAGCCGCCGTCGGTCTGGATGTTGGTTGTTTCTGCAGCATCCTGGTTCACACAGAGACAAACAGCAGCTGGTTAATGCGAGCTCAGAGTCAGTGACACACTCGGGTAAATTCATAGCACCTGACAGAGGACAATGCTGGGATAGGAGGAGACGGGTGCACTCTCTGTCTCGGTGATGATCTGAGGATCAAAACTTCTTTTACCAAAAGAGACTTTAGAATCAGAATCAGAATCAGAATCAGAATCAGAAAGGGGTTTATTGCCAAATGTTGAGCAGGTTTACAACATTAGGCAATTGCTGCGGTGCTTCAGTGCAAACATAGTGTCATAAATAGCACTTAAATAGACATGAAAAAATAAAAGTAGGGATAAGAATTAAGAGTGCTACGTAGAAAGATAAGATTTACACCTGCGGACAGTTTGCATATTAACGTGAAAGCAGCCTGGGAGACTTCACCGAGCAGCTAGCCTGACGTCCTCCTCACCTCCGCATGACAGAGTTCAGATCTGGAGAGTAGGCGGCGGGCAGCGCTGGCGTGTCTCCCTCCACGATCTTCATCACCACAGACAGGAAGTTTGGACCCTGGAAGGCGTGAGTCAGGCAGCACATCTGGTAGAGGAGGCAGCCCAGAGCCCTGCAGCGCAGAAACATCGGCTGGTTTGGAAATGTGTTCCTGCTGGCTCACAGCGAAGCAAACCTTTCATCACGCTGGGACACGTTTACACCTCAGCTGTGTGCGATCAGCCCGGTGCAGACTGACCTCAGGCTCTCTGCTTAGCTTCACTGTATCCTCATGCTACAAACAGGACTTTAACTGCGCTTTCTTCAAAATTACGTGTTCGTTTTTATGCTGATGTGAAACAGTGATGACATTTGTCGAAGTGCACAACACAAGACTGAGCACATGTAACTCAAACAGCGAGGGCACAGACACAGATATCTGCTCATTATTGATTAGCACTGATTAAAAACCAAAAGCTGGGACACAGACAGACTGTTAGGACAATTAACCTCACAGCTGCCCCTTTAAATGAACAGCAGAGGAGCGTTCAGCGGATCAGCTGAGATGAAGCCTACAGACAGCTGTGACTGCCACCTGTGTCACCGCCCACCTGTCAGTCAAAGCACCCACAAACAGGTTATAACAGTTTCATTGGAGTCAATGGAGATGGACTCAGTTTTGGATGAAGGCCTCAAATGGTCACTGGAGGAACTGCAGCGTTTGCACGTCAAATATTTTATTTTATGTGCAGAAAATAGGTTTAAATGTTAAACTAATTTCTTCCAGTCAGAGAATGTTGCATGTAAATAAATGTTTGATTGATGCATAAAGTTAAAAGATTAAAACTAATAAAACAAGTTTTAAAAAGAGACTTTTCCATTTGATTACATTTTGTATGCATGTTTTGAGGGCTGATTTAGTGACTTCTCTGATGGTCAACATTTTTCCATCTGCAGCATTCCAGAAACATCCCCAAACTCTGATATGCAGCTAACAAACTCAGCTTATAGCACAATGTCAACAAACATCTTCATATTTTCAAACTTAGATTCTAATTGCTGGTCATCTTGGAAAAATTACATTAAAATTCATATTAAACCTCAGCATTCATGCTCCTCATCGCTGATTAAAACCCTGAGTGCATCAGCAGCACGGTGGTGCAGTGGTTAGCACTGCAGCCCCACAAGCTGCTGGGCGTATCTGTGTGTGCGATAGACTGACTGTGGGATCACACTGCTGGGATACACTCCATGCCAGTGCAACCATGAATTGGATAAGCAGGAGAAAATGGATGTGATGGATTTACTTTAAGTAGTTTACTTCACATTCTAA